CAAAATTCTGTTGAAAACCTATATCAAGCAGAATTCCAATATTTCTTATGGTCTCTGTTTCCTGCCCTGATCTACCTCAAAGGGCTGACATGTATATTGAAGGCAAATTAAATTCAAAAAATAATCTCTCAAAGTCTTCAACCAGCTGATTTAAAGTATTTGTTCCTTGTTTAGCTCTAGCATTCCAGTAAAACATCTTCCCTACTATTTTCATATTTGAGTTGTACCACAACATAAATTTCTCATGTGAGGCAGGATGAAATCATAACTGCTTGCCTATTAATAGCCAAATATGATTAGCAGCTTTCAAAGCAAGAAACAGAGATTCCCTAGCAGCACTGAAAGCAAGAAACAGAGATTAGAAGAGATAAATAAACGTAGATGCTAACAACTGCCAAAATTTCAAAAGTGTAAAACATTTGCTTTCCAAATGGGCCCAGAAAGGAAAATAATCATCATAACATGGGCTTTATATTATTATTTCAAAACTGGAATATATATTGCAAACATATATATTGGAATTCAAAATAATAGAGATTAATCATTTTCAAAATGTAAAATGTAGAGAGAGTACTTTTTTCCACAAGCATATCAAAGCTTTTTAGATTAGATTATTGGAGGATCCAGTTAAGGACTCTTCTATAGATCCTAATTGTCATTTCAAATAATGCTCCTGTGACTCTGATTTTGAAAATAAATCAGGTAACCATTTGAATATTTCTCTCCTTAGAGATAGAGGAAGGAAATGTGCTTCTTTTCTGAAATCAATCAGGATTCAAACAACATCTTAAATTTACAGGATGCATTTAGGGCATCCATTAGTTATTTTGTTTCAGCAAAAAGACTTAGATATTCCAACTTTATACATTTAGAATAGGTGGTTATAGATTTATTGTTCATGCTACAAACCCCACAGATTAATCATATCAAACATTCACAGCAGCAGACTTTAATTTGGGGGTTCTCCATTCAAAACAGTTTGAATACTCCTTGAAATGTATTAACCAGAAATACTGAGAATCAGAAAAGAAAGCTGGGAAGTTGTTGGCTTACAAGAAAACTTTATATCTGAAATCCAGACTGATGATTGGAATTTATTGAATCAAAATTTATTAACAGTTCTATGATTTTTATACTCAACTATATCAATTAGAGATATTAGTAACTGAATAGCAAATCATTAGTTTTCTGGGTCAAATTGAAATTGAAGACATTTCCCAGGAACGTATTGGCACAACCATTGATATTACAAGAGATTATAGAGACACTACAATCTATGAAATTCAATATAGCCCCCAGACCTTATAGATTTCCTGTTGAATGGTATAAAACTTTCATAGACCTACTAGCACCTATGCTGTTGGAGGTCTGTAATTATTTAATCTCTCTTATTTCCTTCATCATTTTTGAGGTCTACATCACAGTAATATTAAAGCCTGAAAAAGATTCTACAAGATATGCTGGCAATAGACCAGTATTTCTGCTTAACATGGATGCTAAGATATTAATAGCAACATTACCTAGAGACTATAGAAAGTAGTGTCATTCATAATGTATCCATCTCAATCTGGATTTGTAAAAAAAGAAAGGTAAGGATTTGACAATAATTGCCTATTAACATTACAGCTATATGTGTGCATAAAGTGGAGTCAGTTGTTTTAATTTAATCAGAAAGGCTTTTGATATGGTCCAGATTGAATTTATGAAACACATATAAAGAAACTATGGGTTTCCATCATCTTTTCTTCACTGGATTCCAATTTGGTAACTAAATCATGGAGCCACAGTTATCACTGATGGATTTGCCTCTCAACTCCTCAATTTTATTGTGGCACTCTACGGTGATGGCGTCATTTTTACATTTTAATTTGGAATTCAAACAATTGACTTCTTCTATTAGACAGTGTTCTCCCACCCCTACCCGCACCCTCAAAAGATGGCAAAGGAAAGCAGTCTCCCCGCCGAGCTCCATGGCTTATCTATTTAATTAAAATAGCGGAAGAACCTTACCCTATTTCATTTTAGTTTAGCTTGGAAGTTATGAATTTCAAGCAGTCAGTTTGAGTGTTACATTTCATTTAGATAAATTTAGCCCTCAGTGAACATTCCCACACAGGTAGACTACAACATCTCCTGTGACAACGATATGGCAAGGAGAAAAAGAAGAAGAGATCATGATCCAACTGGACAAACAAGCCCAAGGAACATTTATGAATTGATGATTTGGTTCTAGAATGGGAAAGTGTGCCAGTAAGTGCAAAAGACTAATTAAGTAATCAGTATCATCCCCTGGTAGATTTACAAGATGAGATGGCCCCTGCAACTGGAAAAGATAAAGTGGCAGATGAGATAGTCTACCTCCCCCCTTCACAAAAATCTTGCTTGTTAAATCAACATAGTAAGGGCTTTGAAAATAACAGCCTGCTCTTCCCTCTGATAGAAGGCTTACCCCAGTCTGACAAGGGGAGGCCAGTGCCTAATAATGGCAGCCACTGTCTCCTTGATATACACAAATTTGAATATAATCAATGATAAACGACCTCATAAATTTATTATGATCCTCCCCAAGGCTTCCCACTGGATAAGAAAGCTAGCATTAAACATGCCTCTATTATTAATTCACGGTATACACAATATAGTCTTCAGCCAACTCAAGTCGTATTATTTGGGACAAGTTGGAAATGGAATTCCTACAAAAAAGTGCTGTTCTCCCTCTCAGCCTGTTGATGCATATTCCAGCATCTCAAGTAGATCTAACAGCAGTGGATTGGCTCCCAAGCACCAGAGATGATTGTGGAATTGTACTTATATTTAATTCCAGTATAATTCCATCCTTGCTAATCAAAATGAGAAACTTTCTGGCTACATTTCAAATCTTTGTTAAATGAGTCTTTAAAGACTTCTTAATTAAGCCCTTGGTGATCTCCCCTGAAGCTGGACTTGGTGCCAAACAGAGTTTGGCTGGGAAAAGTAAAGATAAGGACCTGTCCTGTCTGGGGAAGATGTCCTTGGAGAGCCAAAGACAGCCTTCATTTCTACTGAATTAACTACTTATTCCTCTGCCTTAACAGAAGAGATTGAAGCTAGGAGCTCTTTTGCTTTACTATCAAGGGATGAACAAGTCAATGTCCTTCAAAAATTGGAGGATTTAAAACAAGAACTTGTCAGCCTGCTTTCTAAAGGCCAGACAGCCACTGAGCCAGTAGAGGCAAACTTGCCCTCTACCAAGTGTGCTGTATGTTACAACTTAGGAGATAATCAAGATAATCTATGTGAATGCCTGTCATGGCACAGTTCACTCTCCTTCAAGCCAGCAAATCTCTTCATCCTCTCACCAATCCAATTGGGCTGAACCCTCGAGTGAGCAGCCTTGGCTGAAATCCCCAAATGCTGTCTCTAAGATCCAGTCCATGGGTATCTCAGCATTGCCTTCAGTATCTGTTCCTCAATAGGACAACACTAACCTCAACAAGGGTGCACATCCTAAAATACCACAAAGGTGTGCAGTTAGCCTTCACTCGTTGGGCCTATGCACTCTGTCTTGTCCCCCTCTGCCCTTTTGGATTCAGAATTCCAGAATGATCCTATTTGCTCCATGCAGCCTTATTTCTCTGAATGACTCTCACCATCTCCAGTAAGTCTTTTATCCTGGAACATTGAATCTGATGTATTGTGGACTGTCAATACCAGCTTCACTTACTTTAGGCCTCAATAAAACTTTAGCAGAAGTCAAACACAGGGTCTGGGACTTAGATATTCAGTCATAGAGAGCTAACTTTCCATCTCTCTTATATTACAATTGCCCCATCCTCCTGGATTCACCCTCGCTATTTTTTTAAGTTCGTATGCTCCACATAGGAAGCATTTTTCTCTGACCCAATATCATGCATATCAGGGCAACAACTGGAAGATATTTCAATCTCCCATACCAAATCTGTATTTGTATATGTTCAAATATGGAGGTTGAATCTATATCCCATATTCTATTAAAATGCCCACTCTGTACATAATAGCAATTAAAATGTATAACCCAAACCATTCCAAAGTTTAATTTCCCTCATTATGAGGAGATCACTGCTTTCCTTTTAGGTGACTAATTTCTAAATGTATCAAGAGTGGTAGGATAATTTTTATCTGTAGCTTTAATCAGCTGGTGCCTTCCTCCCAGCTCTGATTGTTTTTAGCTTTTATGTAATTTATGTTTTAACTTATATATGTCTTAATGTTTGTTGGTTTGGTCTTAGGCCATAAATTAATAAATATTGAAAGGCATGGTGCCATTAGGCATTGAATATAAACTATTCTTATATGCTGATGATATTTTGGCTATCCTTGACAATTATGAGGTATCACTACTAAAGCTTGTCGGAGTTATATAGCAATTTGGTTTATATTCGAGCTATACTATTAATTGGAATAAGTCTGATTTGTTGCCATTGGTATTAACTGTATATATTATTGTAGGAGCAGGATTTACAGTTTGTGCAGTTTCTATAAAATACTTGGGTTTATATATATTTCATTGTATAGATGTAATTTGAATGGATTTAACTCTATGGTCAAAAATTCCATTGGGGTAACATTACTACTATTAAAATGATTATAACTTTGAAATGAGTGCATATCAGTGTGAATTCCCATTAGATATTTCATACAGACAGATAATGAGAAAATGTTTATGGCAAGCAAAACTCCCTAGAATATCTTTGACCAAATTTTGATTACCTTATCAAGAATAGTGGCTTTAAGCTACCAGATTTTCAGCTATATCATTGGACTTTTATCAACATCTACATTTTTTTCTGGAATAAGATTTATTATGATTATTTTGCCTTATTGGTATGGTGAATTGGCTTAGTTTTTTCTTGTTTCAAAGTGGGATAGTGGAGAAATGTGGAATCATAAGCTATGCGCATGTGCACTTAAAAATGATTTGAAGATACTGCTAAACCTCAGGAAACAAAACTGCTAAATTGATGTTTAAAACATTCTTTTCATAGATTTTTACAAAGCTGTGAATCATAACTGGATTCAGAGAGCTCAAGAAATAAGGAATCTAACAACCCTTTCTGTAGCAGGAGGATTTCGAGATTATCAAGTTCGCTCCGGATTGGCTTCTCTGCCCAGATCAAGGCAGAATTGTGCTTTATCTGTTGTGGTAAAACATTAATTCTTTAAATGTTACTTTTAAGCCTTAGCTTTTGATGACCATTGAAGATTATTGTTAACATTCTTGAATAGTTTAGTCCTTCCTTGCCCTAACATCTGTCCTAATTGAATGTGACATTTTACATTGAGATCTCAATTCGAGTGGAAGCAGTAGCATTCATTGCTACATTTATTTGGAGATTCTTTCATCCTCACAAAATACTGTACACATGATCTTTGATTTAGAATTTTTCCTATAGAAGAGAATATGTGTAGCTCAGGGTTGAACTGTGGAGTCCTTGGTGCTCTCTGAGCTTGGTTGTTTGCTTGCAGACGTTTCATTACCCAACTAGGTAAAGGGCAAGCTACTGTATATAAACAGGGAGCAAACCCCACACTTGCTAGCACTCATGATGTCACCTAGTTGAGTAATGAAACATCTGCAAGAAAACAACCAAGCTCAGAGAACACCAAGGAATCCACAATTTCCTCTCTCTCTTTGCTGCTGTCTAGCTTGGATTTTTGCTCCAAGTCCCTTGCACAAGAAACCTGTTTAGAAAAGGGTGTATAAATCATACTAGCTGTAACTAAACTGTTGGATCAGCCTAAGAATTTTATATCCAGTTTATATAATTGTATTTCAGTTTTTAATCCTTATTTAATGATGCTTCAATGAATGAGGCGACTCACAAATTCATTAAATCAATAAACAAATGTTGTGAATCTGCACACAGTTTAAATTGATAATGGAGGCCTCTTATGTGAAGTATGTAAGGCCATATTTTTCCTTGTGCTTTTCAAGCAACAGTACTGCATGCTGCACGGCCAAATGAGCAGACATTTCAAAGTACAATAAGGCAGAGTCGTCCGCTGCTCAAAGGGATGGAAAGAATCAAATGTTTTATATGACATGCTAGTTTTTTGGATTTTAGTCATTATAATGTAAGCAGGATTTCAGCCATATTTTCTTCAGCAAGATAGTAAGCTCCTAGTAAATAAATGTTTGGCTGTTCAGTTTTAAAACAAATAATAAAAATCCTTTCTTAATCAGAGTTCAGCAGTTCCTCGAGTCTGGGTTTCCACAGATCATCTCTCCATTGTTTGGTGAGTAGTTAAAAGCCTATTAGATCCAAAGACTGGTATTCTGTTATACAAATATTTTATTTGGCTATTATTTGACTTTTATTTTGTCTGTTTTTACAAGTATATTTTCCCTTATATTCTTTTTTAGGTGTAAGGAATTGATCTTGGCTACCGTCAGAGCATTTTTTGACCTTATTGATGAAAATACTAAACAGGTTTGCATTCCTTGAAGATTTGTGCATGCTTTCTGGAAAAAGCATTTATTATTTGATTTTTTTTAACATTACTGTACATAAAGAAAGATATCAGGAATATTACCTATACTTCATATTATGTTAGAGTTACAAAGATTTTTTTTTTTAATTAACCAGGCTGTTATTGCCATTGTAGTGGCAGGGCTGAGTTCATAAGATGAAAGTTTAGAGTCTCAACCTCCTTTCCAAGAAGCCCACCCCACACCCTAACCTTGCCTAGGTGTAATAGCGTGCTAGTTACTGCTGCCCCATCTGTCCTCCAAGGGGGTGCCTTTACCTGGCACGTAACAGAAAAAAAGATGGTAATCATGTAATGAATTCTGTGGCCACCTCTTGGTCCTGTAGTACTGAGGCAGGTGACTATGGAAACCTTGAGAAATAGTTCAGTCTAACAAAGTATAGACAAAATTAACAAAAAAGAAAAAGAGAAAATGTAAAAATCCCTTTTCAACTTCCCTTTAACATTTGAAATAATGGGCGGTAGAGGAGATAAAAATAAAAGTTGTTCAAATCACAGGTCCTTACTGAAAAGGAACTCACATGGAAAATCTATAAAGGGCAGTACAGTGGTACCTCGGGTCATGAACTTAATTTGTTCTGCGACTCTGGTCGCGACCCGAATTGGTCACGACCCGAATCAAATTTTCCCATAAGGTTCAATTTAACTACAGTTAATCCGTTCTGACCCTTACGAATTTGGTCGCCAACCGATTTTGGTTGTGACCCGAATCAAATTTTCCCATAAGGTTCAATGTAATTACGGTTAATCCGTTCTGAACCATATGTATTTTTTTTTTAAACCACAAAAATATGAAACAAAGTACAGTACAGTATAGTATGAAGAGAGAGAACACTAACTTTGCTTGAGGCGACTTCTGGCCTGGAGGACAGGAAGGCGGGTGGGGAGGCGGTTATTGTTTGGAGGGAGAGTCCCCCTCCCTACAGGAAGCCACGACCACGTGTCACGGCAGGGAAAATGGCCGCAGATCCTGTTCGTCACCAGATGCGGAGTTCGCAAACGGAAGCAAAATTTTGTGAACGGTGCTGTTCGTGACCTGAATTGTTTGTGAACAGAAGCGTTCATGACCCGAGGTACCACTGTATAAGGCTCTGGGCAGATGCCAGAGGGAGTGGATTTGCTCTTCATTTAGAGCAACGCTGCTGTAAAAGAGGTTCCAAATTGCATTAAAAAAATATGCAATATACTAAGCATGCACAGAGAACATAAACAGCAGGAGAAAAAAAAACATTAACCAGCAGACACAGAAATTAAAATTAGTGCAATTTTTAGTTATCTTTTCTCTAATCCTCTATAGAGAATAGACCAGCCTTGGAAAAGATACTACCTCTGTGTTAATTTTCTGCCTGGAAAATTCTGTTACCTGCAGATTCCAGCTTAAATCTAAGGCTGAGGAGAGAGAGAGTAAAACTCCTTAAACTACAGTTTCCAGCCTTTCATCTAACAATTTCTTGATTTTTTTCAAAGGAGAAACTCTTTTCTCTCTAGCAGAAAGGAAGGGGGTTGAGGGAGCTTGGGGACTGCTTGTTGCAAATGTGCCAAAGCCTACATGATCCTGCTTGAAGCTGAAAAGGTATTGATTCTGTGTCTGGGAAATATTAGCTCTAAATTTTGTTAATAATGGCTGGCCTCACATTAGGCATCAAAAGCTAGTTAGTTTTTCTTAAAATGTTTGTTAATTCATAGATATCAGAAAATCCAAAAAGAAAACTGCTAGTCCTGAATCACCACTTTTTAAGGAATCCAGGAAAATTATTTGAAGAAAAACCTCAGTCGCTTACTGAGTTAACAGGTTAGTGTGTCCAGTGTTAGAATGTTACTATGCGTGTATGACTTCCTTGATGAGTAAGAGCAGTATTAAATCTAAGTGAATTGAATCAATATGTTTCATTCAGTTTTCCCTCTAATTTCTGGAAAATGGCATGGGACCATTTTCTGTCTGCAAAGCTCAGCCCTATTTATATAGGAGTCATTCACATGGCTTAAAATCTTCTGTACAGTCACTGATATAAATTGGTAATATAAAATCTCATCAAAACAGGTGACTGAGTTACGATACAGGTAGTCTTCGTTTAGTGACTGTTTGCCGTTACAACGGTGATAAAAAGTATCTTTACAATCAGTCCTCACATTTACAACCTTCACAGATCTGTAAAGCAAAGGAAAGTTGAAGATCATAAGCACAGTTGCAGTTTCACTTAGCAACCGCTTCACTTAATGACCAAGGCACTGGTCCCAATTGTAGTCGCTAAACAAGGACTATCTGTAGGGAGTCATAGGTCAGATCTTGTCTCAGCTATGAACTTGTCAGATAGCTGCTTCTTTTTAAATAAGGATCTCTTGTGCGATGCTGAGTATTATTATGGTAAGAACCAGGTGGTTTATTTGAAGTTTCAGCATTCAGGTTTATGATTATAACTACAGTTTTCCAGTATGAACATATATGATTAAAAAAAAAAAAAGCAGTGTGAGCCAATCCTAAGGTAGCTTTCTGTTTCCTTTTTTAAATGCTGGAGTGCTTGCTTTGCTACAGTCAGGACCATTTATCTCTTTGTATTTGTGCTTATTCTTTCTCTACGTGATGTCTGGGGCTTGGCAAATGTATAGGTTAAATAAATGTTGCTGTTCCATGTGAATATTTTCTCATAATGCTTTTCTGAGCAGACCGATATATGATGATGTGGCAAAAGTATCTTCTACTGTAGGTTCCTAAATCCCTCTCACCATTGTAACCACCATTTTCAAAATCTACCATTTCATGATTTAATGTTTGTTATTCAACCTAAACTATCAGATATAAAGATTTAAAAGCCCTACTTATTTATGAAAAGCTTGAGAAAGAATATTTTGTACTGATATTGATGCTAATTTGCCTGCTCCAACTAAAATCAGAGGAGGAGAATTTGTTTTTATCATTTCAGAAGTATTTGTCCATGTTAAAAGGAGATATGCTATTTTAGATTACAAAGCAAAATTATTGTGGTGTTGTACAGCAGGAGAGGAGGAAAAAATGTATTCCAGTATGAGGAATAGTATTGCTTTTTTTCAGGAGCATTCATTTGGATCAAGATAAAAACTTCAAAATGGTCCTACAAAGGATACAATGTAAGTAATATTTTCATTTAAAAATGGAATTATTTAATAACTTACATGGGAGCTAATTTTTATATCTTTTATAAGGTCCTCTTTAATTTCAGGCAGGTTTATTTTCCATCTCTACCTAGCGATGCTAATGTTTGAATTCAGCACCTTCCATATGAAAAATATGTGCTATACCACTTATTTACAGCTCCTCCTCTGATGGAAAATCTGGAATTGAATATGGTATGGTAAATATTGAATCTAGGCCTCCCCAATTCCCGTCTAGCGGTTGGGATGTGCAAAACATTTGTAGCTTGAGATGTTCAGAAGTCAAGAAGACAGCCAAATGTTGTAAACTCAGAACAAATCACTTATATCATTTCACATCTGCCTGGATTTTTTAAAAAAGTGTCCAAGCCATGGACATTTGGAGAGAGGATTAGTGAATAAAAATAGCAGACGAGGTTCTATTCCATGTTCCCCTTTGCTGAAACTGAGGGGAGGTAGAGAAGGCATGAGGGAGAGCTATTTTAGATCATCATGGTGTTGGTAGGTAGGTTTACTGATGAATTTAAATTCTTTGCTATGGGAAATTAGAATTCATGAGTCGTTAAATTATATTACTGTCTCTCTATGTGTATTCTCTTTATATTAAGCTTTCTTTTTCAGACTAGTTGCAAAATGTAAAAACATGCAATATGCATGTCCATTACAGATGTTGCTATGCTGTTGAACTTTTGGACTGCAAGTGCAAAAGCTGTTTTGCTTTATTGAATTTTGCAAGCAAATTTCTAAGTGCTCTGTGCATATTCGTGGGAAAGAAGCCTCAAGCCAGTAGTCAGAGAAGTGCATTTTAGCAGCTGTTACATTGTTTGTGCTAAGTTGAAGGGAACCCATTGCTATTAAATTTTACCTTTGTTCAGTTTTATGGTTGTGCAGGCATCTGCTGCAACAAACATGCTTAATTATTGCTTCCATTTTTTGCTGTGGGAATTAAAAATATTTTAATCATTCCCTTAGCTGATGTTTCTGTAGTTGAGTGGTAAATAACATTTAGCATGGATTATCACCATATCTACATTTGTGGTCTTTGCATGGAAAACAGAGAGCAAATGACTTCTTTCAATTTCTCATTGTTCCCTATGGTAGAATACTTTCAATATTTAAAAATTTTGTTCTGCCATTCAAAATGCTCTAGCATAGTTTCTAAGTGTAATTGTTTTATTATGTTCAAGTAAACATTGTCTTTTTCTGAACAGGAATCAGATGGAAAATATTTTATTTTTTCCCTCTCAAGCCACAGAAAATCATACACTCATATCCACTGCAAAAACAGTATGTTGGTGAGAAAATTATTTCCTTCCTAACCTTCCTTTTCATTGTTATATTATAATGCATATGTTTTAAGGAATTTTAATGATTTAAACCTACAGCTTCTCTTACCCTCTCCTGTGAACTGGATGATGTCATTATGGTAAGCCAACTCACAAGCTTTCCATGACATCATCTGTTTTTTGGAGTGCTGCTTCAAAGTATTAGTAGCCCTTTGGAAGTATTAGGAAATGTTTTTAAGTGCCTGCTGCAAGAGAGTGTTCAGCTGTTTCACTTTCAGGAGAAACAACCACTGTCCTAGCAGCACTTCAACAGGAGCATTTACAAAAGCAGTTTGCACCAATGCTGGCAGCCACTGCTGCTTCTGATAAATATTTTTAGGAAAAATTAAACTAAAATATTTATAGGTTAAAAAAAGCAGTAGGAATCTACATATATTTTAATTTGCTCTTTATTTGTTTTCATCTCTTCTTAAACAATAGGATACAAATAGCTGGATATATGGTTGTGCAAACAGTACTTCATCAAAGTGGTAAGCATATTTTATTGTTATGAAATTATGAATAACAATTATGATTTATTTAAAATTTCAAAATATAACTTTGTAGGCTAAAGCGTCTCAAGGTGGGTTACAACAAAAACCATGGCCCTTGAAAAAGCCCCTGGAAAGGATATGATACCTCCAGAGGTATATGAACAATTCCTGGTGGGTTGCCATCCTAACTAGACTTTTCTCAGAAAGAGATAAAACATGTTATATGTTCCCATTGGAAACAAAGTATAATATACCCATTCTTCAAAAAGGGCAACTGGCAGGGATCTGCTAATTATCGTCCAGTTAGCCTGCTAGATATCTTTTCTAAGCTGTATGCCAGATATCTTTGCAATAAATTAGAAGATTGGAAGGAAGAAACACAATTCTTCCATCCATAACAGGCAGGGTTTCGAAAAGGGCATAGCACAGTAGATCACTGCACCACTTTGAAGAATGTTATTCAGAAATATACCCATACAAAACAACTCTATGTTGCATTTATTGATCTTACCTCTGCCTTTGATTTAGTTGACAGGTCTTGACTATGGGAGAAACTAGCAAGGGCAGAGATTGATAGGTGCCTTCTCAAACTAATAATTTAATTACATACATTATAGCCAGAGTAAGAATGGGCCCACAAGGGTCTTTGTCAAACCCTATTTTATTGGAGAGAGTAGCTAAACAGGGCTGTTTATTTGTTCCTTTCTTATTTCATATTAATGATACTGTAGTGGCCATGCAGTCACAATATTTTTTCTCCCCCTCACTTAATGGATGGAAAATGTCAATGTTAATGTATCTCAGTGACATGGCTCTTATTTCCTGTGCCAAGATTGACTTTAGAAGATTATTGTTCAGACTAGCTGATTATTGTGAAAGGGAAAAACTGAGGATAACTTATAGTAAAACAAAGGTAGTGGTCTCTGGCAGAAGTAATACTAAACAAAGGTAGACAATTAATGCCAACAAATAGAGCAGTGC